ATAACTAACAAGCAGCCAACTAATATTTCATTTAAACCTGTAAAGAGGTGTGATGTGGTACTGATAAGAGTGTATATTTTGTATATTTAAAGTGGAGAGTTCTATAAATGTTAATTGAGGTTACTTGTTCCCGATCTGAGTTCAAGTCCTGGATATTGATGTTAACTTTCTGTCTCATTGATCTGTCTGATATTGATGTTGAAGTCTCCTACTATTATTGTGTGGGAGTCTAAGTCTCTTTATAAGTCTTATATATCTGGGTATTCCTGTATTAGGTGCATATATATTTAGGATCTTTAGCTCTTCTTTTTACATTGATCCTTTTATCATTATGTAATATCCTTCTTTGCTTCTTTTGATCTTTGTTGCTTTAAAGTCTATTTTATCAGCAAAAATTGCAACTCCTGCTTTCTATTTATTTATTATTCTTGCTCTCCCTTTGGTTGGTAAATTTTTCTCCATCCCTTTGTTTTGAGTCTTTGTGTATCCTTGCATGTGAGATGGGTCTGGATGTAGCATACCAATGGGTCTTGGCTTTTTTTGCCTGTCTGTGACTTTGGATTGGGGGATTTAGTTGAATTAATAATAATATATGTGAGTTTGATATTGCCGTTTAATGTTAGCTGGCTGTTTTTCCCATTAGTTGATACAAGTTTTTAATTATGTTGATGTTCTTTATTTTTTGGTATTTTTTAGAAAGACTGATACTGGTTTTTCCTTTCTGTTTGTAGTGGTTTTTTCAGAAGCTCTTGTAAAGCAGGCCTGGTGGTGATGAAATCTCTGAGTGCTTGCTTGTTCACAAAAGATTTTATTTTTCCTTCGCTTATGAAACTTAGTTTGGCTGGATGTAAAATTCTGGGTTGAAAGTTCTTTTCTTTAAGAATGTTGAATATTGGCCCCCGCTCTCTTCTGGCTTGTAGGGTTTCTGCTGAGAGATCTGCTGTGAGTCTGATGGGCTTCCCTTTATGGGTAACCTGACCTTTCTCTCTGGCTGCCCTCAGTATTTTCTCCTTCATTTCAACCCTGGTGAATCTGGCGATTATGTGCCTTGAGGTTGGTCTTCTTGAGGAATATCTTTGTGGTGGTCTCTGTATTACCTGGAGCTGAATATTGTCCTGCCTTGCTAGGTTGGGAAAGTTTTCCTGAATAATATCCTGAAGCGTATTTTCCAGCTTGGGTTGATTCTCTTCATCACATTCAGGTACACCTATCAAACGTAGATTAGGTCTTTTCACATAGTCCCATATTTCTTGGAGACTTTGCTCGTTTCTTTTTATCCTTTTTTCTCTGATCTTGTCTTTACATTTTATTTCATTAAGTTGGTCTTTGACCCCTGATATCCTTTCTTCTGCTTGATCAATTCGGCTGTTAAAACTTGTGCATACTTCACGAAGTTCTCGTGTTTTTCAGTTCCATTAATTCACTTACATTCCTCTCTAAATTGTGTATTGTTGTTAACATTTCATCAAGTCTTTCTTCGAAGTTCTTAGTTTCTTTGCATTGGGTTAGAACAAGTTCTTTTAATTCCCAGAAGTTTCTTATCATCCACTTTTTAAAGCCTGCTTCTGATAATGGAACACAGTCTTTCTCCATCAGGCCTTGTTGTGTTGCTGATGAGGAACTGTGATCCCCTGTAGAGGGAGAGGCGTTCTGATTTTGGGTATTCTCAGCCTTTTTAGGCTGGTTTCTTCCCTTCGTTATAGATTTATCCATCTGTGGTGTTTATAATTACCGTCTTTATAGTTGGGTTTCTGAATGGACGTCCAACTTGTTGATTCCCGGCGCTAAAATCTGAGCATCCCACTGCGCCGGCTAAAACAGCGGCGTTAAGATTGATGGTGCTTTTACTCTGCACCAAGAACCGCCGCACCAAGACAGCGGCAAAACCGCCTCGCCGGCCATAAGAGTCGCGCTGGCAACCCGTGGGGCTCCTCCCCTGGGAATCACCTGGTGCGTGAGCAGCAAAAATTGATCTGAAAGCGTGGCGTCCTCTCGTTCTCTGTGCTTTCAGTGGGAGCTACAATCCCGAGCTGCTAGTGATCAGCCATCTTGGATCTCTCACCTCATTAGGCCTATTTTAATATCGATAATTCATAATTTTTTTGTGTGTGTGAATTGCCTGCATCTGTCTACAAATTATTATTTTATTATTGATTTGTAACAGCATTTTATATATTAAAGATAGGAAATCTTTGTCATATATGCATTGTGAATAGTTTTACCCAGTTTTCTGGTTATCTTTTAATACTGTTCATGATATATTTTACAGTGAAGAAATTTTAAGTTTTGTATAGTAAAAGCTGTCAGTCTTCTCTTTTAAGGTTCCTTGTTTCTCTATCAGATTTAGAAATACTTCACTCACCTCAAAACCATAAAGATATATTTCCATTGATTATATTTGTAGCTTTTATATTTTTAATGTTTGAAATATTTTGGCATATGGGAAAGGTGGGACTCAAACTTTGTTTTTTGAAATGGTTGACTAATTTTCCCAATATTATTATTTTTTTTCTTTTTTTTTTTTTTGAGACGGAGTTTCGCTCTTGTTACCCAGGCTTGAGTGCAATGGCGCGATCTCGGCTCACCGCAACCTCCGCCTCCTGGGTTCAGGCAATTCTCCTGCCTCAGCCTCCTGAGTAGCTGGGATTACAGGCACACGCCACCATGCCCAGCTAATTTTTTGTATTTTTAGTAGAGACAGGGTTTCACCATGTTGACTAGGATGGTCTCGATCTCTTGACCTCGTGATCCACCCGCCTCTGCCTCCCAAAGTGCTGGGATTACAGGCTTGAGCCACCGCGCCCGGCCTTTCCCAATATTATTTATTGAATAATCCATCTTGTTGCCATGGTTTAAAATACCATTGTCATATATTAAATTTCCATATATATGTATGTATGTTCATTTTCTACTCATTGCTTTGTTTCATTGACTGTCTATTTCTGTGACTATTTCATCACTATATTATTTTATCATCCTTAGCTTTAGTATATATGTTTCTATATATAGTAGGGAAGATATCCTGTTATACAGAGTAATTGGCCATGGCATTCGTCCTAAATTTCTTTGATACAAACAGCAAGCTTAATGTAGTATGACACTTTAATCACAGTGGTCTTCCAATTTACCTTCTTCCAACTTTTGTTAGTGGGATTTTCTCTGAACTGGGTGGTTTTCTGGAATTCTAATGGAAGAAATGTATGTATGTATATATATATATGTATATATAAAATTATTTCTGAGAGAGCCCTTCCTTTTCTTGTGTTGTGTGATAAGCTGTGTCTTAGCTTGGGCTGCTGTAACAAAATACTATAGACTGGGTGGTTCGAACTGCAAACATTTATTTTTCACAGTTCTGGAGGATGGGAAATCCAAAGGCAAGGTACTGGCAGATTTGGTTCTTGGTGAGGATCCTTTTCCTGGATTGTGCTGATGGCTGCTACATTGCTATGTGCTCACGTGACCTCCTTTTTGTGCTCAGGGCGAGAGAGCTCTGGCTTTCCTCTCTCTTTCTATAAGGATATTAATCCCAGGAGGGATTATGAGGGCTTCTCCCTCAATACCTCATCTAAACCTAACTACCTTCCAAATATCTTACCTCCTAATATCATTACATTGGGGGTTAGGGCATCAGCATATGAATTTGGGGTGGATGTACACAGACATTCAGTCTATAGCAAGCTGTTTACTACTATTTGGGTTTCCTTGAATCCATTCCCATCTTTTGATCTATAGGGGGTATGTATCTATATTCCTTTTCTTTCCATTGTTGCTTCAGATTTTCAAAAACCAAAAATCTTATAATTTCTTTGGATATTTTTCTATGAACTTAGAAGGTTAAAATTAAAATATGGGCTCAATTTGCCATTTTGTTAACAAAAACTCTGGCTTTTTTGAGTTATGTACTAGTATGAGTTTCAAAAAATGACCTAAAATGAATTTTAAAAGGAATATAAATTTATTCAAGTGGTGTTTAAGTCTGTATACTTTCTACGCATATTGTTTGCCTTTATTCATCCTGAGACAAAGAAATATCAAGTATTATTTCATTCAGTGTAGTATATGTGTTTCCTCTTAATAATTTAAAAAATTAACACATGAAAGTGGCAGTTAAGAAATTATGATATACTACCAACATATGAGAAAAACCTCAACATCACTGATTATCAGAGAAATGCAAATTAAAACCACAGTGAGATACCATCTCATGCCAGTCAGAATGGTGATTATTAAAAAGTCAGGAAACAATAGATGCTGGTGAGGCTGTGGAGAAATAGGAACGCTTTTACACTGCTGGTGGGAATGTAAATTAGTTCAACCATTGTGGAAGACAGTACAGCAATTCCTGAAGGCTCTAGAACCAGAAATACAATTTGACCCAGGAATCCCATTACTAGGTGTATACCCAAAGGAATATAAATCATTCTACTATAAAGACACATGCACACATGTTTATTGCAGCACTCTTTACAATGGCAAACACATGGAACCAACCCAAATGCCCATCAATGATAGACTGGCTAAAGAAAATATGGTACATGTATACCATGAAATACTATGCAGCCATGAAAAGGAATGAGATCAGGTACTTTGCAGGGATATGGATGAAGCTGGAAGCCATTATCCTCAGCAAATTAACACAGGAATAGAAAACTAAACACCGAATGTTCTCACTCAAAAGTGGGAGCTGAACATTGAGAAGACGTAGACACAGAGAGGGGAACAACACACACCAGGGCCTGTTGGGGCATGGAGCGGGTGAGGGGAGGGAACTTAGAGGATGTGTGAATAGATGCAGCAAACCACCATGGCATATGTATACCTACGTAACAAACCTGCACGTTCTGCACGTGTCCCATTTTTTTTTTAGAAGAAATAAGAAATTATGATATGCCAGATGATTCTTAATGACATTTTACATGCCTATAAAATTCTTGGATTATTGTCAAAGCAGAGAAATAAAACTATTGCAAATGATTTATGATTATATTTCATTGTAGGCATGCCTTCTCCTGAGATTCAACTTGGATTTAAGATCAGAAAAGATCTGCAAGAGCAAATGACTGAAAATAAGGTGATGCCTGTTCTTAGCAAGGATACAATATTACAGATGTATAGTGTGTTGATTGAATACATTCTCATTAAAAATTGAAAATGCTGTTGTCTCTCATAGTGGCAAATTACTAATGATAATTCTTTTTTGTGTATTACTTTGTTTCCTTTCTCTTCTCTTATCAATTTTTACCTCTTAACCAGTCATTCTGTTTCTTTGCTGCAACTTTGATGAAAATCATTGTTTTAGGAGGGAGAATTTAAAATACAGTTAACCCTTGATCCCTAACAATTTGGGAGTTAGGGATGCTGACTTCCTGTGCAGTCAAAAATCCACATATAACTTTGATTCCCCCAAAACTTAACTACTTATAGCCTACTGTTGACTGGAAGCCTTACTGATAATATAAACAGTCAATACATATTTTGTCTTTCACATGTATTATATACTGTATTGTTACAATACAGTAAGGTAGAGAAAAGAAAATGTTAAGCAAATCATAAAGAAGAGAAAACATTTACTATTCATTAAGTGCAAGTGGTTCATCATAAAGATCTTCATTCTATCATCTTCACATTGAGTAGACCGGGAAAGAGAAAGAGGGAAAGAGGCGGGGTTGGTCTTGCTTTCCCAGGGGTTGCAGGGGTTTAAAAAAATTCATGTATAAGTTAACCCACACAGTTCAAGCCTGTGTTGTTCAAGGGCGAACTGTGTATTCTTTTGTCCACTCTTACACCTCTTATGTTTTTCGCCCTTTGGTAGAGATGCAGATGTGAGTGGAACAGAGGTTAAAATAGGATTTAATAATTATGATTTTAATCTCCATTTTATATTAGGGATTCTTTTTAAACTTGTGAAGAAGATACTAGCCTATATGGTGTAATTTGAGATATAGGCCACTGAAAAGACATTTTTGTTATCTTATGTGTGTGAGTGTATGTATGTGTATGTGCATGCATGCGCATGCGCGCGCACACACACACTAAGAATTTTTATTCCTTTTTTGGTTTTTTAAAATATGATTTTGACATTTATGTCATTTCAAACTGCATGTAGATTTCTGAGAATCAATTTGTGTGTATGTGTGTGTACAGATTATCACCTAGGTACTAAGCATAGTACATGAACAGTTTTTTTCTGAACCTCTCCCTTCTCCCACCATTCTCCCTCAAGTAAGCCCCAGTATCTGTTTTTCCCCTCTTTCTGTCCATGTGTTCTCATGATGTAGCTCCTACTTGTGACTGAGAATATATGTTATTTGGTTTTCTGTTTCTGCATTAGTTTGCTAAGGATAATGGCCTCCAGTTCCATCCATGTTGCTGCACATGATATGGTCTCATTCTTTTTGGTCTTTCTTTTTTTTATGGCTGCGTAGTATTTCATGGTGTATATCTACCACATTTTCTTTATCCAGTCTACCATTTATGGGCAATTAGGTTTATTCTATGTCTTTGCTATTGTGAACAGTGCTATAATAACATACATGTGCATGTGTCTTTATGGTAGAACGATTTATATTCCTTTGGATCTATACCTAGTTGTGGGATTGTAGGATTGAATGGTAGTTCTTTTTTTAGTTCTTTGAGGAGTCACCACACCACTTTCCACAATGGTTGGACTAATTTATACTCCCACCAGCAGTGTATAAATGCTCCCTTTTCTTCTCAACCTCCCAGCATCTGTGCTTTTTTTACTTTGTTTGTTTTGAAATAGAGTCTCTGTCATCCAGGCTGGAGAGCAGTCGCACAGTCTCAGCTCACTGCAACCTCCACCTCCTGGGTTAAAACAGTCCTCGTGTCTCAACCTCCTGAGTAGCTGGGACTACAGGCACCTGCCACCACATCTGGCTGATTTTTGTATTTTTAGTAGAGACAGGGTTTTGCCATGTTGGTCAGGCTGGTCTCAAACTCCTGACCTCAAGTGATCTGCCCACTTTGGCCTCCTAAAGTGCTGGGATTACAAGCATGAGCCACTGTGCCTGGCCTGTTACTCTTTAACTTAATTTTAAGAATAGTGATTTTTGACTGGTGTGAGCTGGTATCTCACTGTGGTTTTGGTTTGTATTTCCTGAATGTTTAGTGATATTGAGCATTTTTTGTATGCTTGTTTGGCCACGTATATGTCTTCTTTTGAAAAGTATCTGTTCATGTCTTTTGCTTACTTTTTAATAGAGGTTTTTTTGCTTGTACATTTATGTAAATTCCTTGTAGTTTCTTGATATTAGACCTTTGTCAGATGTATAGTTTGCAAACATTTTCTCCCATTCTGTAGGTTGCCTGTTTATTCTGTTGATAGTTTCTTTTGCTGTGCAGAAGCTGTTTAGTTTAATTAGGTTCCATTTGTCAGTTTTGGTTTTCTTGTGATTGCTTTTGGAATTTTCATTATCAAATGTTTGCCAGTTCCTATGTCCAGAATGGTATTTCCTAGGTTGTCTTCCAGGGTTTAGTATCGTTTTAGGTTTTATTTTAGATCTTTAGTCCATCTTGAGTTGATTTTTATACATGGTGTAAGAAAGGGGTCCAGTTTAAACCTTCTGAATGTAGCTAGCCAGTTATCCCAGCATCGTTTATTGAGTAAGGAGTTCTTTCCCCATTGCTTGTTTTTGTCAACTTTGCCCAAGATCAGATGGTTATAGGTGTGTAGCTGTATTTCTGGGCTCTCTCTTCTGTCCTATTGATTTATATGTCTATTTTTGTACCAGTACCATGCTAATTTGGTTTTGTAGCCTTGTACAGTTTAAAGATGGGCAGTGTGATTCCTCCAGCCTTGTTCTTTTTGCTTAGGATTGCCTTAGCTATTTGTGCTCTTTTTTGGCTCCATATGAATTTTAGGATAGTTTTTCTAGTTCTGTGAAGAATGTCATTTGTAGTTTGATAGGAATAGCATTGAATCTGTAAATTGCTTTGGGTGTTATGGCCATTTTAATGATATTGAGCCTTCCTATTCAAGAGAATGGAATGTTCTTCTATTTGTGTCACCTATGATTTGTTTGAGCAGTGTTTTTTAATTCTCATTGTAGAGATCTTTCACCTCCCCGGTTAGCTGGAGCCCTAGTTATTATTATTATTACTTTTTTGGCAATTGTGAATGGGATTGTGTTTCTTTTGGCTGCTCTTGGTGTATAGAAATGCTACTGATTTTTGTACATTGATTTTGTATTCTGAAACTTTGCTGAAGTTGCTTCTCAGCTCAAGGAGCTTTTGGAGAGAGACTGAGGTTTTCTAGATATAGAATTATGTCATCTGCAAACAGGGATGGTTTGACTTCCTCTCTTTTTATTTAGATGCCTTTTATTTCTTTCTCTTACCTGACTGCTCTAGCCAGGCCTTCCAATACCATGTTGAATAGGAGTGGTGAGAGAGGGCATCCTTGTCTTGTTCTGATTTTCAAGGGGAATGTTTTCAACCTTTGCCCATTCAGTATGAAGTCTGATGGTGGCTGTGGCTTTGTCATAGGTGGCTCTTATTATTTTGAAATATGTTCCTTCAATGCCTAGGTTATTAAGGGTTTTTAACATAAAGGGATTTGAATTTTATTGAAAGCCTTTTCTGCATCTATTGGGATAATCATGTGGTTTTTGTCTTTAGTTCTGTTTACATAATGAATCACATTTATTGATTTGAATATGTTGAAGCATTCCAGAGATAAAGCCTACTTGATCATAGTGAATTAGCTTTTTGATGTACTAATTCACATTTTGTTTGTTAGTATTTTGCTGAGGATTTTGATGAGCATCTATGTTCTATGTTCACCAAAGATATTGGCTTGAAGTTTTCTTTTTTTGTTGTTGTGGCTCTGCCAGGTTTAGTATCAGGATGATGCTGGCCTTATAGAATGAGTTGGAGATAATTCTCTCCTCAATTTTTTGGAATAACTTCAGTAGGAACAGCACCAGCTCTTCTTTGCATGTTTGTTATAATTCAGCTGTGAATCTATCTAGTCCTGGGCTTTTTTTAGTTGGTAGGCTGTTTATTACTGATTTAATTTCAGAGCTCATTATTGGTCTGTTTAAGTATTCAATTTCTTCCTTATTCAGTTTTGGGAAGATATATTTGTCCAGGAATTTACCTACTTCTTCTAGAATTTTAGATTTATGTGCATAGAGGTCTTGCTAGTCATATCTGATTGCTATTTGCATTTCAGTGGGGTCAGTGGTAACTTCTCCTTTGTCATGTCTAATTGTGTTTATTTGGGTTTTCTCTCTTTTCTTCATTAGTCTAGCTAGAATTCCATCTGTCTTATTAATTTTTTCCAAAGAAACAGCTCCTGGACTTATTGATCTTTTGTATGGTTTTTGTATGGTTTTTCAGTTCAGCTCTGATTTTGGATATTTCTTGTCTTCTGCTAGCTTTGAGGTTGCTTTGCTCTTGCTTCTCCAGTTCTTCTAGTTGTGATGTTTGTTATTTTGAGAAATAAGATCCTTTTGAGACAAGCAAATGCTCAGGGAATTCATTACCACCAGACCTTCCTTACAGGAGCTTCTAAAAGAAGCACTAAATATGGAAAGGAAATACTGTTACTAACCACTACAAAAACACACTTAAGTATGCCAACCAGTCACAGTATAAAGCAACCACACAAACAAATCTGCATAATAACCAGCTAACAGCATTGTGACAGGATCACATCCACACATATTAATACTAACCTTGAATGTAAAGAGCTAAATGTCCCAATTAAAAGGCACAGAATGGCAAGCTGAATACAGAGGCCAGACCCAGTGGTATGCTGTCTTCAAGAGACCCATTTCACATGCAGTGATACCCTAGACTCAAAATAAAAGGATGGAGAAAAATCTACCAAACAAAAAAATTATTTGGCTTCTAATAACTCATTTGAAAATTAATTTTGTAACTTCTGAGTTTATAAAAAATAACATTTCCTCTGGCTCCAATAATTGTGAAATAGGAGGTAATAATTAAAAATAGAAAACAGAAAAAAGCAGGCATTCCAATTCTAATTTCAGACAGGACAGGCTTTAAACCAACAAAGATCAAAAATGACGAAGAGGGACATTTCCTTCCCTAGTCCACAGCAAGAGAAAGAAGGGCATTGCATACTGGTAAAAAAGGGTTACATTCAGCAAGAAGACCTAACTGTCCTAAATCTGCATGCACCTAACTTGGGTGCATCCATATTCATAAAGGAAGTTCTTGGAGACCTAAGAAAAGACTTAGACTCCCACACAATAATACTGGGAGACTTCAATACCACACTGACAATATTAGACAGATCATTGAGGCAGAAAATTAGCAAAGAGATTCAGGATCTGAACTCTACACTTGGCCAAATGGACCTAGTAGACATCTACAGAACTCTCCACCCATCAACATCAGAATATACATTCTTTTCATTGCCCCATGGCACATTCTCTAAAATTGACCCTGCAATTGGACATGAAACAATTTTCAGTAAAGTCAAAAAATTGGAATCATACCAACCTCACTCTCAGACCACAGCACAATAAAAATAAAAGTCAAAGCCAAGAAAATTGCTCAAAACCATGTAGTTACATGGAAATTAAACAACTTTCTCCTGAATGACTTTTGGGTAAATGTGAAATTAAGGCAGAAATCAAGATATACTTTGAAATGAATGAGAACAAAGACACAACATACCAGAATCTCTGGGACACAGTGAAGGCAATGTTAAGAGAGAGATTTGTATCACTAAACACCCACATCAAAAAGTTAGAAAGATCTCAAATAAATGTATATATTTAATGTAAATGGAATGGGATAAAATATTTGCAAATCATGTCTGGTTTACAGAATATATAAAGAATTCTTACAACTCCACAGCAGAAAAAAAACAACTGAATTAAAAAATGAGTAGAGGGCTCTAATAGACATTTCACCAAAAGAGATATAAAAATGGACAATGAGCAGATGCTCAATATCACTAATCATTAGGGAAATGCAAATCAAAATCACAATGAAATACCACTTTACATTCATTATGATGACTATTTAAAAAAAAACAAAATCCAGAAAATAACAAGTGTTGGCAAGAATGTGGAGAAGTTGGAATGATGTAACTGCTGTGGAAAATGGTATGGCTATTCCTTAAAAAAGTAAACATAGAATCACCTTAATGATTTAGCAATTTCACTTCTGACTGTATATGCCAAAGAAGTAAAAACAGGGACTTGAATAGATGTATTTGTACACACATATTTAGGGCAGCGTTATTCCCAATAGTCAAAAAAGGTGGAAGCACTGCAAGTGTCCAACCATAGATGAATAAATCAAATGTTGTACATACATACAGTAGAATATTATTCAGCCTTAAAATGGAAGGAAATGTAGATACATGCCACAACGTAGATGAACCTTGAATACATTACACTAAGTGAAATAAGCTAGCCTCAGAATGATTAAAATTGTATGATTCCTGTTATACGATGTTTCCAGAGTAGTAAATCAATAAAGACAGAAAGCAGAATGGTGGCTGCCATGGTTTGTGGGGAGGGGATTGGGGAGTTAGTGTTTAATGAGTATGGAGTTTCAGTTTGGGAAAATGAAAAAGTTCTGGAGGTGAATGGTGGTCATGGTTGTACAATAGTGTGAATACACTTAATGTCAGAGAACTGTGCACTTACAAATGTACAGATAGTAAATAGATAGTAAATTTTGTGTATTTTACCACAATAAAAAAGAAGCTAAGAAAGAATAACACAAAAATTACTTTAAATGTTAATTGTTGCATTGGATTAACATTGATCAGTTGGAAAAACATGTTTTTCTTCCTAGCAGTCTCAAGATGAAACAGTACAAAATCAAGCTCTGTTACAGTAAGTATACTAATTTTTGGCTTCATTATATTGTAGGTATTTTTGTCATTTTGTACATCTAAGATGAGTATTCATTTTTAAGGGTTTTATAATTGTATATTTTTAAATAATTGTCCATTTTGTAGCAAAAATATGTTTTTTTTACACACATTCTAGATAAGTTTTATTTCATAAGAAGCATTGAATCAGATTAACTTGAATCTCTGTTATTTTAAGAATGAACTTAAAACATAGCTTGAAGGTGCAAATTTATGAAGGGGCTGCCAATAAATAAAAGCATAGCATGAAGGAAGAATTTGTAAAACTTAGTGAAATTAGACTTCATACAATTGTTATACCTTAAGAAACTCAGCCGAGTGTATTTGCTCATGCCTGTAATCCCAGCACTCTGGGAGGCTGAGGCAGGTGCATCACCTGAGGTCGGGAGTTCGAGACCAGCCTGGTCAACATGGTGAAACCCCATCTCTACTAAAAAATACAAAATTAGCTGGGCGTGTTGTTGGGCGCCTGTAATCCCAACTATTTGGGAGGCTGAGGCATGAGAATTGCTTGAGCCTGGAACGCGGAGGTTACAGTGAGCTGAGATTGTGCCACTGCGTTCCAGCCTGGGCAACAGAGTGAGACTCTGTCTCAAAAATAATAAAAAATAAAAAGAAAGAAAAAAACTATTCTTTCAGTTCTTTTAAAACAATGGTTCTCAAAGTATGGTCTGTGAACCCTTTGGAGTCCATGAGTTCTTTTAAGTCAAAACTATTTTTCATAATAATACTAACACATTAGTTGTTTATTTCATGGTATTTACATTTGCACAATAGTGCTGAAGTAATGGTGAGTAAAATGCTGGAGTCTTACTAGGAATCAAGGCAGTGGCACCAAACAATGTAGTAGTCATTGTGTTTTTTCACGGATGTGTACTCTCAGTTACAAAAATAAAAATAAGCCAGTTTCACTTAACCCAATTGGTGTTTCAGGAGGCAGGAAAGTTATTAGTTTTAGTAAGTCTCCACCTTTGAGTATATATTCTTTTAATATTCTAAGTGATGAAATGGAAAGTATGCTTAAAGCATTTCTGTGCATACTGATATGTGATATTTATCTTTTTTTTTTTGAACCAGAGTGTCACTCTGTCACCCATGCTGGAGTGCAATGGTGCGATCTCAGGTCGCTGCAACCTCCATCTCCCAGGTTCAAGTGATTCTTATGCCTCAGCCTCCCGAGTAGCTGGGACTTCAGGTGTGTGCCACATTGTCTGGCTAATTTTTGCATTTTTAGTAGAGACAGGGTTTTGCCATGTTGGCCATCCTGGTCTTGACCTCCTGGCCTCAAGTGATCTAACCGCCTCAGTCTCCCAAAGTGCTAGGATTACAAGTGTGAGCCACTGTGTGCAGCTGTGATATTTATCTTGAGTAAAGCACTTGTGCACTTGTTTGAATTGTAAGCATTGGAAGAAAACTGGTCTCATCTTTTTTTTTTTTTTTTTTTTTTTAACTTGAGAGGTGATTTTTTGATATTTTATAATGAAATGTGTCAGCATTAAGAAAATGTGCATAACTCAGTGGATAAGTATTTTCTAAAAGATCAGTGCATGATGTTACAAAATCATGTATAGGTGAAAGACCTGTTCAAAGTGCAAGATAGGCCATGGGTTTTAATGTAACAGAATACAAAAAGTTCATTAATTTTGTTTCAGTTTCTACATTTTAAGTAAGCAACTTTTAGGAAAGTACTTTTAAGAAACTTGTTGATTATATAATTTTGGTGTAATATTGAAAAAGAATATTTTAGGGGTAGAAGGGGGAAAGCATCTTCTCCACCCACTAAAGGTTTGCTGAAAATAAAGACAGATTTATAGAATAAAAAGATATATAAAGTTTATTTAATGTACATGGGGCAAAATCGTAGGAGTGTGATTACCCAAAAACCCAGTGAGGTCCAGATGTTTATATACCATTCTTGATAGGGGAAGAGGAGATGGAGGGTATAGCAGCAAATGATTTTCAGGGGAAATGAATATTCCCAAAAAACAATGGCCTGGGACAAGTCCCTCTAAGTTTTGGGAGAATTGATGGGAAGATGAGAGACAGAACTTCACTCTGAATAAAAGTTGTCTTATGCAGATAAAGTCTTGGGTAATCTTTTGGAGCTGCTGTCAGAAGAATAGATAGAATTTGTCTGGATATGGTGTCCTGTCCTGGCCTTAGAGACTCTTAGTCTTTTCTCTGATGGTTAATCTTTCCTGGTTATTTAATGAGGTTCCTAGGGAGGGGATTTTAAGACTATTTTATTTTATGTTTTTGAAGAAGTTTTCTCAGTCAGATAAGGCAATTCTGGAGAGAGTCCCTTCAGGTGCTTCAAGAAAGAAAATATCAGATAAATGGGGTAAGGGGTGAGAGGGAAGGTCATATGGAGATCTTGGTTCTGAAGCTTATTTCTCAGGCCTTTTAGTTTTCTTAAATTCAGAGTACTCAGCATGCCATAGTGCCATATTTTGTGGTATTTTCTGTACCCAATCAATGTTCATAATTATCCAAAAAGGCTACTAAAATACTCCTCCCTTTTCCAACTCCATATCTATGTGAGGTCAGATTTTTTATATATATTTCAAATAAAATTATATATGACAACAGATTGAATGCAGTAGCAGATATAGGATGATAGTCATCTTTTATTAAGCCACACGTTGAAGAGATTTTCTAAAAAGTGAAACATTGCAACTTTTCTCACTAATTTTTTTCATTTTGGAAAAGATAATACTTTTTCATAAAAATATATTAATATGTTCCTGGATTATTCCTGTCATTTAAAAATTAATAAATATTTAATTTTGTTCTTCATTTTTGTTTCTAACATGTAAATATAAATAAGTATAAGCCACCAATAATTTTTGAGAGTATAAAGGAATCTGAAAATAAAAAAATTTGGGCCAGGCGCGGTGGCTCACGCCTGTAATCCCAGCACTTTGGGAGGCCGAGGCGGGTCGATCACGAGGTCAAGAGATCGAGACCATCCTGGTCAACATGGTGAAACCCCGTCTCTACTAAAATACAAAAAATTAGCTGGGCATGGTGGCGCGTGCCTGTAGTCCCAGCTACTCGGGAGGCTGAGGCAGGAGAATTGCCTGAACCCAGGAGGCGGAGGTTGCGGCGAGCCGATATCGCGCCATTGCACTCCAGCCTGGGTAACAAGAGCGAAACTCCGTCTCAAAAAAAAAAAAAAAAAAAAATTGAAAACTGCTGTTGTTGTAAAATAACCCTTTGCCCTAACTACCAACATTATAAGTTCACTTAGAGAAATGGAAAAAAGACTAAGGAAGACTAATATTGATTGCATCCATATTCTCACTGCCAGAGAACCATTGTTAACATTTTGGTACATTTTGCTTTAGGCTTTATTTATATTTTTGTTTTTGTTCAATTGGGATCATCCTGCAGATAGTTTTGTATCCTGTTTTTAAATTTTAAGTAATAGTTTATCAAAGTTATTTTCTCATGTCATTAATTTAAAAATGTGAATTTTAATGACCTTATAATACTTTATTGTATTACTGACTTTACTGTAATTCATTTAATTATTCCTCTACTACTGGACATTTAGGTTGTTTGTAGTCTTACCTAACATAAATAACTATTTGTAATAATTTAGATGAAGCTTTCCCTATTTTCAGACTTACATCTTAAATACGCTTTTGCAATTAAGGGAAAAATTCTGTGGTTAACTCAAACTGTGGTTTTATTTTGTTTTCAATCAGCTTGTTTTTTAAAGAATCACACTTTAGGGAAAAAAAAACAGCATTCTTTTCTATTTGCTTCAAAAATTATTCTACAGAAATAGTTTTATTTTTATTTTGAAGACAGCTTATATTGATCACTTCTGTTTTTGTACAGGAGAGAATGCTTAATTTATTACTTTTCCATAGGACTCGAGTAGCTGTACCTGCTGCATTAAAAACTGCTCTTAAAACAGCTGAAACAAGGCTTTTTTTTTTTTAAAGGAAGGTATCTTGATTACATTGATGCAGTAAATTAGGTTGAGAAAAAATATAGTTAGCAGATTGCCTTTCTTTAATCAACTTTTAATTATCACAGGGCAGATGATCAAAATTGCAGATTAGGCATGACCCTTACTTTGCTTTTAACATCTTCGCTTCTGTATTCCCTACTTTTTTTTTTGCTTGCTGTAAAATACAAGAATGATAAATAATGCCTGGAGAAATTTATCATTAATGATTGTAGCTTACATTTAAAACTGTAATGACAAACTGTCAGTGTATTTGATGATGTAGATATACAAACTACATGTTTCAGGACCATTTTCTCCCTGACATTCCTAATCCTATTTGGCAGAGAGTCACCTCCAAAGTCACTTTTAGACCTAAATGTAGTTTAGCTTGTATACACTCCTAGGTTCATCCATTGTTTTCTCAGCTCTCTCCTTCATTTTTCCAGTTACTTGAAATGTCAATGTTAACAAATTGATAATAATTGTAAAAATAGTTAGAATGATGTAGCAAAAAAATTATTCTATCTGGAAAGCCCTTTAAGTGAAAAAGAAAAATGAAATTGTATTTGAATGGGACACACTGTTTTTTCTTTCGTTTTAAAATTAATTTTTATTAATTAATTGATTTTTTTAGGACTAGAAAAAATTGTTCAATGTTCATTGGGTCATTTCCCCAGTCTGGACTTTCATCGAACCACCAAAATATTGAAGGTATGTTTTCATGGGTAGAGTCATATGAAGGAAATTAGTCTTTGCCTAAAATTATAAGGCTTAGTTAGATATAAATTTATTTACAACTAGACTGGTCAACCATATATATATCTCTCTCTCTATATATATTTTTTTGGTAGAGATGGGTCTTGCTATGTAACTTTGGCCTCCTGGGCTCAGGCAAATTATCCTGCCTTAGCCTCCCGAGTAGTTGGGACTACAGGCATGCTCTACTGAGCCTGGCTTACTGTACATTCATAAATATGAAATCAGTGTTGCTATTGACTTGGATCATGCTTCATAGAGTTACCTATGGGAGTAGAAGCTCAGGTGCAGTTAGTACCTGCTATTCCAAATGTGATTTAGGGACTGAAATTTGAAAACAAAATTTGTTTGCTATGTTCATAACATTTTAAATAAGAATTTCATGTCTTTCCTGACTGGTAGTCACACAGGCCAGTTTTGCCTTGGTTTGAGCTGTATTAGAGGATAGCTCTCTATTTCTTTGAGGTGTCTGCCAACAATTCCTCCAGAGTGAATGTCAGGTATTTTGTGTCACAGTGTAGCAAATATTTATAGTGTCCAATGAAACCTTATAAGAAAAGGACATAAGGACATAATAACATTTTGGAAAGATAAATTTAAAAAGCCCTGTCTTCCCTTGCTCTGTTGCTACAGCAGCAAAGCAGTACCACTTTTGCTCACTACCAGCTCTTACATGTACTTTTAGTGTCTAGAGTTTGGTCTTTAATGTTGTTTATTCTTTAACAAATACGTATTAAGACTGCTATATACCAGGTATATGAGTGCTAAGGGTGGGAGTGCCAAATAAACCAGGAATTCTTAAAGGGTAGCTGATCCATTTTGGAGCATGACAATATCAAGATGAGTCTGAATATACAATTATTGCTGAAAAGCAAGGATGCCTTCAAGGATGTCTGGGGCTGGTGCTGCAAGAATAAATGGTTAGCTCAATGATGCTGTGGCCAAACTGTGATAAACGGGCCAAACTGATAAATTAAGTAGGGATAAAAACCCAGTAATTTAGAGTTCATGGAAATAAGTTTGTGAAAAGACTATGAGTTTATAATGATACTCAAAAAATGTTAAGCGTGTACAAAAGATTGTCTCAATACAAAAAGAAAAGCAACTATAACAGGATGTTTAAGAGTTTTAATGGGCTGAGTGTGTTGGCTCACACCTGTAATCCCAGCACTTTGGGAAGCTCAGCCAGGATGATTGCTTGAGCCTAAGAGTTCGTGACCAGCCTGGGAAACACAGGAAGATCCCCATAACCACACAAAAAATAAAATCCAGGTATGGTAGCGCATGCATATACTCTCACCTACTTAGCAGGCTGAGGCAGCAGGATAGCTTGAGCCCAGGAGCCGAGGAGATTGAGGCTGTAGTGAGCCATGTTTCCAGCCTGGGCAATAGAGGGAGACCCTACCTCAAAAAAGAAAGATACTAAATGGCAAGTATAAGTTTCTAATAACACTGCATAATAGATCAGTACATAATAAATGACAAGACAAAAGCTTTTGTAACACTGACCAAGTAAAACTTAAAGCATTCTGGGCCAAACCATTATATTACAAAAAATAAAATTTATGAAGTTTAAGGCATTTATTTATAAGTAAAGCCAGATAATTGGTTACTCAGGTTGAAATCATCTTGAGAGAAATAGTCTCATACCCCAACAAAAAATCAGGTAGTCTGTAACTCGGGGAAGATATCAGAGTAAGTAATACTTTAATCTTAAGAGGGTATAATAAAAAATATAGAAATACAGAAATAAAGAAGAATGAATTACACCAGTGATCCTGTTATTTTAGAATTAGTTTAAGAGCAGTAGTCTTTTGTATATTTGAAGTGGTAAAAAGTTATGTCAAATGTTTAGATTAAATTGTTTAAGGAAATTTAAGTTTGTTAGCAGTGTTTAAATGTTAAATAGTAATTTCAAGTTTTCATGACTTAGATACAGAAGTTTAATAAATTGACCATTAAACTAATGTAAGTACAAGTGGTAATTAATGTTCCTCTTTAAATATAAAAGACTTTGTGATTTTTAAAAGTTTAATAAATATCAAATGGCCTAATATAATTCAGACTATACCAAAAATACCGTCCAAATTTAGTAAAAACATATTTAGCACTTTTTACAAGATGTAGTTGGGAAGCTCTTTTGGGCCCAGGAATTTGAGGTGGCAGTGAGCTATGATTGTGGTGCCTTATTATAGCCTGGGCGACAAAACAAGATCCCCATCTCTAAAAAATGAAAAAATAGTGCCACATGTACCAGGGTTATTGCTTTGTATGTTTCTTGCTGCCCTAAAGCTGCTGTGACTAGAGAGCCATAGAACTGGTAGTTCTCTTCCATTCTGGCACTTCATTGCAGCTCCCTCTTGCCTTTACTTCTTTCAGAGTCTTCAGAACAAGAAGCTCATTCTATTATAATTCCAGACTATAAGTTAAATCACATAAAGTAAATTATTAAATTGTTAGCTTTTATAGCTGACTGTGTTCTAATACAGACCTCTGTCCCAATTCAAAGGGTAAAGTCTAACCAAATTGTACAAAGATAAAGGTAAGCCAACTATCTTAAGCAAATATAATAGCTTTGGCCTTAAAATGCCTGTGTATAAGTTAAATTTTGTGTATAAGTTCAACCAGGCCTCTATGGCCATTTTCTTTGAATTTAACACTTTAGAATTATTTCTCATGTATACCATTACATTTTGCCTCTCTAAAGTGACAAGTAGAAAATTTGAAAATTTATTATTTAATGATTTGTTAAATGATTTATTAAAGGATAGACAGGAATTCAAGAATTCTTTATGTATTTGTAAAAACTTTTAAGTAAAATTTTTGGTTAGAAAAGGTAATTCCCTAAATGTGTTTATTTTTAATACAGTAATTAAATTACTATAAAATATTTTATTCATTAAGCTTTTAAAGTAGCAACTATTGGCATGAAAGAATAATCATTTTGTCAATGATAAGAGTCAAACTCTGTAAAATATTTGAAGAATTTTATTATGACCCAAATATGAGTGACCATGGCCTGTGACACAACCTTCAGGAAACTCTGAGAACATGTGCCCTAGATGGTCAGGGCACAGCTAGTTTTATACATTTTAGGGAGACATGAGACATCAATCAATTTGTGTAGGACGAAGACGTATATTGGTTCTGTCTGGAAAGGTGGGACAACCAGAAGCAAGGTGGGGAGGGGGACTTTCAGTTTATAGGTAAATTCAAAGATTTTGTGGTTGGCAGTTGATTGAAAGAGTTATTATCTAAAGACCTGGAATCAATAGAAAGGAATCTCTGGATTGTGATGATAAAGGGTTGTGGAGACTAAAGTTTTATCACGCAGATGAAGCTTCCAGGTGGCAGGGTTCAGACGGAATAGCTGTAAATGTTTCTTAACAGACTTAAGGTCTGTGTTGATGTTAATGCTGGTTGGCTTCTCCTGAATTCCAAAACGGAGGAGGGTATAAGGAGGCATGTCTGACCCTTTCTTCCCTTCCAGGCCTAAACCAACTTTGGAATGCCCTTGGCCAGAGAGGTCCCATTCACATGGTTGGGGACCTTAGAATTATATTTTGTTTTTTGTTTTATAGTTTTGAAGATGAAGTTGTTAAAGACAACATGGGAGAAAATGTCTGTGGGAGTTGTTTCTTTACAATTCAGAAAAGGAGGAAGAGTGAAATCTGTTTTTCTGTTTTTGAATTCTAATCCCCCAAGGATATGAAATTTTATTTAAAAAACCCCTCCTTGCAAAGATAGTTGAAGATACAGCTATTGTTTTAAAATGTTTCTTTCATTAATATTAACATTTTAAGCAACTAGAGATGCAAAATGTTAAGTAAGATACACATAATGAAATATGTCATCACTTCTTGTCATGAAGAATTCTAAACCAAGGATAGGAAATTATTCTTATGACTTTTTGCTTCTCATCCTGTGAACAAGTAATATGCCATGATTTTAGTCCTCCTAGCTGATCATCAAATTGCGAAGGTGAAGTGAGGGGAAAACACAGGTTTATTATTATTATTATGTAGACTGTGCAGCTCTGCAAGGATTTTTAGTCATCACGCCCAGCTAATTTTTGTATTTTTAGTAGAGACGGGGTTTCACCATGTTAGCCAGGCTGATCTTGAACTCCTGACCTCAAGTAATCTGCCAACCTCAGCCTCCCAAATGCTGGGATTACAGGCATGAGCCACTGCGTCTGGCCAGAATACTTGCGGCTTGATGATGAAAGTAGAATGGGCCGGGAATAACTATTTGGAATTATCTTTTGGATCCATATAAAATACTTTTTAAGAAATGGAAAAATTCTGTAACTTCATTTCCAAAATAATATTTTATATCAATAAATTTATGTAATATTAGTATTAATGAAATATTTGATGTGTCAGTTGACTGAGGGAGTTTAAGTTATATGATTATGAAATGCCAACTGAGAAGGTATGTTTTTAGTGCTTTCATAAACCTGGATTTAAAGGTATTGTTCTTTTCTAGGGCCTGAACCTGAAAGTCCTGAAGTTTTGCCACACATGGAAAAGGTTGGTCTGTATAACAGAAATTAACTATGTAGATTGTGGATTTAAATTTTTAAAAGAATAATGTGTATTAAGGTATCAAGCTCATTTAGACCCTCCCTTAGGCAGGAATATGACTAAACTGTTTCAGTAGATAGAAATCTTTTCTTGTCTAATCACCTGTTCCATATTTATTTTTCCTTATTGCTAAAAAAAAAGCATTTTCTTGATCTGCATTTCTTATCTAGTACTGTAAGTCTCTTATTCTTTATCTAGAGTAGAAATATATAACTTGTTATCAAGCTAGTTCCTGAGATACTGTAGCAAAGTTCCTTCTGTTGGTTTGTCTGTTACTCTAGTTCCTTTAATATTTTGTGCTAAATTCTATTTTCTCATCCTCCAGTTGCTAATAAGTATCAAGTGCCTGCTTTGGATTTGCTTCGTACTTGGAGCTATGGAGAATCAGAGGACCATAGGACTGGCTCTGCTCGCAATGAACTTACGGTTTTCTTAGGGATACTGGGCAATCAAGGACCTCCCTAGGCCAGCCCAGGATACCCATACCTTTTATTTGTTTTGTTTGCTTGTTTAGAGATAAAGTCTCGCTTTGTTGCCCAGGCTGGAGTGCAGTTGTGCGATCATAGTTCACTGCCATCTTGAACTCCTGGGCTCAAGAGATCCTCTCACCTCAGACTCCCAAGTAGCTAGCTGGGACTACAGGCCTATACTGCCATGCCCAGCTAATTTTTTTCTTTTAATTTTTTTGTAATACTGGGTCTCAGCATCTTGCCCAGAGTTGTCTCTGTACCTTACCTTATCTCAGCTGGACCTTACACATTCCTGCCTTCATGCTTTTGCTCAAATCAGAAGGCAGAAGATGAAAAATAACATAAAATTTGGAAACCAGAAAGGTCTAGGTTCCAAGGATAACCGTTTATATCTGCAAGATAGGGACAGCAATAGCTGTTTTATAGGTATTGTAAGGACCGAGCAATGATGGTTCATGGTGTCTGGCACCTAGTTGGTGCTCAGTAAATGTGTATTCCTCCATTGTTTGACTCCTTCACAAATCTGTAATTTCTGGCTCAACTACCTTTTTTTCTGTGGATCTATTTCAGATAACTCTGGTGATCTTGACCAAAGTAATTGCTCCCTCTCTAGTATTCATTATTTACTGACTATATCATTATTTCCAAATCACTTATACTCTATGATATTAATAGACCTTCTGAGGAAAAGGATGTTTTTAGACAAAAATGTTTGGAGAACACTGTGTCCTAAAGTTCCCCAATGCACATGGTTTGGAAAGTCCTGTTGTAAAGTAACTTGTTTAACTTTGCTTAACCAAGTATTTTTCACACAATCACGAAAGCCCTCCGCTGCCTCCATTTTTTTCTTCCCCAGAAATCTCATTTCTGCAAGACACTAGCCTTTGTATTTATCAAGCAAATGGGCCTGCTGCCTGATGTGCATAAAAGCCAATGCTATGGCACTGACTTTTGAGGGGGGGGCGGGGAAGGCTTTATTGTGAGACAGGCCAGCAAGGAGACAGGAGAGGCAGCTCAAATTTGTCTCTTCTATTTTGGGTCTGGAACAAGTTTTTAGGGGTCAGAAGGCAAGGGAAAGGATTTAGGAATGTTGGCTTGCAGAGTATGATTAGAAGGCTTCAAATTTGACCATTTATGGTAAGGTATATTTAGGCAGGTTTTAGCTCCAAATCTTCCCAGCGAGCAAACTTCTGCTTCAGAAAGACTTCCAGTGGTCAGGTTCCAGTTATTTCTGTCTTTTTGGTTTAGGGGGATAGGGAGTCATTTCTCAGTCTTCTTGGTTCAAGGTTCTGACTGTGCTACATGACTTACAGTTTTGGCTCTGTTATACCTTCAAGATGACTTGACATTCTGTTACCAACAAAGTAGGGCCAGTTTGGACAATTCTGAGGTTATAAATGGAACTGTTTGATATACACTAGTTTATGCCATTCATTTGATTTAGTAAGTGTTCTATGACATTATTTGTCTTCTATTTAATATCTTAGGTATTTATGTCTTGAATCTTAAGTTAGAAATAAATTCTTTTAAGACAGATCCCAACGTATATACTTTATTTCACCTGGTGCTTTGAATTTAGTAGTCATACGGACTTCGAATAGGTGTGAGGCCTTGAACTGAGACTTAAAGAGTAAGTAGGATCTGGTTCTTGAATTTATTCCAGATTCCTTTGATCTTTCTGAGAAAATTATAGTTAGCATTCTTAAGTGCTGTATGGTATTAATATATGCAGAGTAGATAAAGGTGGCAGGTAGAAAAGGACAGGAGGAAGAATAAAGTGGTTTTGCTTCTCTCACTCATATTAGATCAGAATATTAGAAGGCTTACAAATTACAGCACATCCTGTCAAAGGTATGGTGGATTTGATTGTTTGGAAAAAGCTAGTCATTGAAACCCATTCTGTTATTTAAGGCCAATAAAAAGTATTTAGTGTTTAAAAATTTTTCAGCGCCTTTAAAGCACATTATTTTCTTGAATGGCTAATAAACTCATTCTGAAAGCAATTTCAAAAGAGGGATTCTAACAATATTTTGAGTGTTAGAAATATTGTGAGAACAGGTATAACCTATTAAGGTCATGTCTTGGAGAAATAATAGTCATTTAGAAATGTTTTGTGTTTTTTGTTTGTTTACCATAACCACAACTCAGAGCCATTAATTTATAGCTAGGGCTTATAATATTTATATAGAACTGTACCCTCATTTTTCTACCTTTTCCCTCTGACCTCTTGTCCTTTGGCCTGTTTACTCCACATTTAGTTATTCATACAAAGGTAGGGGAATAAAAAGAAGATAAAATTTTATTTTTTGTTAATAATTTTTATAAACCAAATAGGAAATTTTTGCAAGAAAGAATTTTATAACCATTAATTGCTATGAAGCTTTGAGATCGGTTAATTTAACCATCAATGCCATCTCTGCTTCTTCTGTTAGCACAGATAATTTAAACTTAGATGAATAATTTGCCATTATAGTTATAGTCCAGCCAATTTTACTATTGGTCTATTATTAAATGTTTAACCATGTATTCAGTAATTAGTGATTTGGTATAGGAAAGCAATAAAATTTTCTTTATTTATGCAAGGGAAGGAAAGTTGGTAATAAATTTTGAGGGTAACTTAACAAACAAGATAAACTATAAAGTTTTTATTTTAAATACTTTATTGTATATGCTGTAATGATGTAATTTCTATTTGTAATACACAGGAACTAAGTGAAGGCAGATATTCTCCTGAAGTTAGCCTTCTCTCAGGCACTGCTATTACAGTATCTGATACCGTTGCTATAAAGGAGACATCATTAATAGAGCCAGAGAAGATCTTAGCAGAACCAAATACACTTTTTGAGCCTAGAAAGGAAGTCACATTGACCGTGACTTCTGAAGAAACTAAGGATGAAGAAAGCTCACTTGAAACCTTTGTGTCTGCCTTAGAAAGGTTACTTACATCACCAGAAAGCGCCCAGGAAGAAAGACTGTTTGAATTAGTAAGTGATTTTGATCCTAAAGAATTGATGAACCCATTGAGTGACTCTCTGAGTTCCATATCAATACATTTGAATGCATGGACGTCATGTCACAGAGATTTACAAGAAAATGTGAAGGATGATGTATTGCCAGCTGAATTATTAGAAGCCCTGAACACATTGTCAGAAGCCAAGGTGGAAACCATCTGTCATAGAAAAGAGGGAGGCAGCAGTCTCAGTGCTAGAAATGAATGTTTAGAAGTGGAGTTCAATATGTCTCAGACCAATGAAGACTGTACACAAATAGCAGAGGTGAATTTTGAATTTCTTTGTTCTACTCCACCATTTGAACATGGTTCCAAGTTAGCTGAGCTGTAGGATAAGCATCTTTCAGTGCAGCAAGTAGCTGAAAATATGATTCTATGATTTTGCCTTTTATAGTAAACTTCAAGAGGTTTTCATTGTGTTAAAATCAAATCTACACAAATATCAACACCCAGAGGATACTTTGTGACTTGGAAATAGAGTGATCTTTTTAGAAGTTCCTGGGGTAGAGTTTCTGAGGAGTTAGGAAGTTAAAGTAGACAGAATTTTTCCCAAGAGGCCTGAGAAGATGTATCATTAGATTGCTTATATGTAGGAAGGAAAGAATTATTTACTAAAATTTTCTTTGTTAGCTCAGAAAAATCACTATGTCTACTTGGGTGCAGAGTAGTGATGGGATACCCCACATTAATTTGCATTTTGACATAGAATATATGCAGTTGGGATGCTAGGGGAGGGAAAAAATATGCCTAGCATAAGCAGAATTTTGCCTTCTATGTCTGCGAATACTGTCAGGTGGCATAGCTCTTGGAGTTTATAATTCTTGTGGTATTATGCCTGGAGCCCTGAAGTGGCCTATCACTGACAAAGTCCCTTTGTCATATTGACAGTTTCTTTTTTTTCTTTTTTTTAATTTGAGACAGAGTCTTGCTCTGTTGCCAGGCGCCAAGCTAGAGTGCAGTGGCACGATCTCAGCTCACTGCAACCTCCGCCTCCCGGGTTCAAGCAATTCTCCTGCCTCAGCCTCCCAAGTAGCTGGGACTACAGGTGTGTGCCACCACACCCAGCTAATTTTTTGTAATTTTTAGTAGAGACAGGGTTTCAACATGTTAGCCAGATGGTCTCAATCTCCTGACCTCGTGATCCGCCCACCTCAGCCTCCCAAAGTGCTGGGATTACAGGCTTGAGCCACCGCGCCCGGCCGACAGTTTCTTTGTTTTTAAACATAATCTTTATTTTTTCTTCCTGATTATAATAATAATGCACCCTCATTATAAAACAAATTTTAAACCTTACAGAATGACATAATAATACAGTAACAAAAATCCTCCACAGTTTCACTCATTAGAGATAATTACTGTTAACAGTTTGGTGTATCTGTCTCCAATTATTTCTATCATATTCTGTATTAATTCATTTTATACTAATGAGATTATATTATATGTAATGCCTTGCAACTTATTTTTTAAATTTAATAATGTATCTTGTTTATCTTTCAATGTCAGCAAACATAGCACTACTTAAATCTTTTAACTTGCTGAATAGTATTCCACTGTGTGAATATATTGTAATTTATTTAACTAATTCACTAATGATGGTCATTTTGATTGTTTTCTTTCTTTTCTTTTTGTCTTCTGATTATGTTTCTGTGAATATCCTTGTGAAGATTTATATGACAAAATGCTGAGCTTGTGTTGCAGCACACGTACCTGGAATAAGACTGCATGAAGTTTGGTTAACAAATCTCAAAGCTGACATAGGATATTTTAAAATCCAGAAAAAGAGAAACTAATTATGGAGATAGGGCATGAAGATTATACATTCCAGTGTTCTAATACAAAAAGAGGGAATATGAGTAAAGTGTAGGAAATTATGATTGGTACTAATAAAGTGAATATGAATTTAGCAAGTCTTCATAGGAAAGAAAAAAGAAACCCTCGTAAGTAGAAAGGAGACTTACTTAGACCAGATCAAATGAAATACTCAGCTATAATAAAAATGTGCAACTTGTTACCTTGAGAAGCTTTGCAAGATGGATATGTAAGTAAACTAAAGAAAGGTTTAGATGATATGTATAAAGAATACATATGCTTATGGAAGTGAAATCTATAATGAATTATTAAGGGAAAGTTAGAACAATCCCTAATATAGTGTTAACCTTTTAAAATCAGTGTAATGGAGGTAATGTACTATCTTGTTCCACAAAATATCACTTACTGCTGCTATCAGATAACAAAACCCTAGGCTGAATGGACCACTGATCTAGCCTAGTGTGACATTTGTAATGCTTTTGTGGATCTCTCATCATTCTATATTCCCGATTTCTTGCAAAATTAAAGCTCCCAGAGTGACCATAGCTTTGCCCTTGAATTTTCAAGATAAATATTGATCAAATCATTTTTACTTATACTCTTAAGCTTTTAAATCTGCATTGTCCTTTATTACATTAATTATTATAAAATCTTTCATTATGTTTATGTCTGTGAATTCTTGTACTCGCATACTGTAAGAGGCATTTTGATTTAATCAAAGGTCAAGACAAAATTTAACTTCTTATAGTTTTAATTTTTTTGCAGTATTGTAATTGTTTGTGGGTGTATTTACATATTTACAGACTCTGCAAGACCCAAATCCATCTGGATTGCAAACTTTGGCTCATCAAAATATCACTTCTTGTGAGCCACTAAGTAATAATAGAAATTCAAATTCAGTGACAAATAGCTCTGACCAGGAAACTGCATGTGTGTTAAGGAGATCATCCAGACTAGAAAAACTGAAAATAAGCCAAGATGCAAAGTACTCAGATCATATATATAAGATGCCAGAAAAAATTTTACCAAAAATCCTTGGCTGTGAGGACGTAACAGATAATAAGTCTTCAACTCAGAATTTCAGGTATGCTATGAAATTATGTCTATCTCCAGGTATGCTATAGACATTGTAGATAATCATATGCTTGGGGGCATTAGGGTCAGTATACAGTTAATACAGGGTAAAGAGCTTTATTTTTTATGTTCTTGCTTTTTTTATTTTGCAGTTTTTGATCAGTGCCACACAGCAAGCAAGGCAAAGAGCCTGCGTGTTTTTCTTTAAAGGGTGAATAGAGTGGATAGTGTCATGCCAACTTGGGGAGCGAAGAGCAGGAGATTCAGAATATTTACACCTGTAGATGACTAATCCTAAAGAAGAAAAAACCCATAGATAGTGCAAAGAGAAGGCTAGAAGCCATGATGACTGGCATGCCTGCTGCAGAATTACCTGCAGGAACCATCTCCATATTTAAAACTGCCATACCACTTGAGAACAGCTCAGTAAAATACCCTGGAGTTTTAAAATTATAGTCAAAATTTGGTATAATTCTCTGTGAATGTTTGTAGAAACCACTACAGCCTTTTTAAAAAATACATTGTTTTTCAAGACTGCAGGATCCAGCTTTAATGACTGATGGTAAAGGGAAGAATATGCATTCAGCCAGGTTCAAGAGTGGACAACCGATCAGGAAAAACCAATTTTCAAGAAGAAAAGGTGGTGCTTATTTTGAGTATTTTTCTATTTGTTTAAGTGAGTAATTTACAGAAACAGAAATTTGGTAGAAAGGATTCAGAGATTATCTTTCTCAACGTTTTAATTTTACTAATGACGAAACTGAAGTTCAGATAGATTAAAGATTTTTCCCAGCATCATACAGCTCATTAGTAGCATAATTGAGAATTGATCTTGAACTTCGGACTCATAGGTTAGTGTTTTTTTCTATAAATCTACTTTGGAGAGAGTAGTTACATACCTCTTTTAAAATTTACATGTGTGACTAACCTAGGATATGGCTATGAAAAATCATATCAGGAGGAATAAAGGAAAGGACAAGGCACAACTGTTATTATTCTTAGACCTCATTTCTGTGTTCCTGTAATATCCAAAAGATTGAACTAAAAAATTCTCAGAAGCAATAAGAGAATCTAGAAACACTGTTTAAAAAATAATAGATAGTAGAACAATTGGCAAAACTGAAATGTGGATTGTAGATAAAAAAAATAATATTGAATCAGAGGTAAGTTTTCTGAATTTGATAATACTGTGGTTATATAAGCATACATCTTTGTCCTTAGAAATATACATTTAGTGAGGAAAAAGGCATGATGTATAAAAGTTACTTTTTATGTATACATGTATCTGGATAGCATATGTATCTATATATAAACAGGAAGAAAGAATGATTTAAAGTCAGTGGCAAAATGTTAACAAAGGGTGAGTGATTTGTTCTATTTTTACAACTTTTCTGTAAGTCTGAAATTATTTCAAAAGTTTTAAAAATGCAATAAGCTGGAGCCAAACATTAATGCCTTTCATGTATATGTATGTGTTAACTTGTTAGAAAATATAAGAGATTATCTCACTTATTGTCACAAAAAAGAAAATACTTTTATAACCAATAAGAAATGTATCATCCTTATGAGAAGAGAATTTAAAAATTCTACTGAGGTACATAAAAAATGCTTGAATAAATGGAAATAAGAACTCTGTTTTAGACTAGAAAGATTCAGGATTGTAAGAAGGTTCTCCCTAAATTGTACTATAAATGCATGAGATCTCATCAAAAACAGATTTTTATTTATTTGCTAATTTTTAAATTTTATTTTGTATTGCTTCTACAGGGATAGAGAGCAGCTATGAGAAAATTTTAAAGTAATATTAAATATCACCTAGAAAAGTGAATATGAAAGACTAGCCAAGAAAATTCTGAAAAATAAAAGCAGAAAGTTAGAGTGGCAGGACCTTGTTCTCCATAATATGAGAGAACGTTAGAAAGCTACAGAAATTAAAGTCATTTGACACCGAAGCAGGAGTAGACAGATAAATCAATGAAACAGAATAGAGTTTAGATGTAGATGCCAGCTACAGTGAGATGTGGGACAGATATGTAATATAGATGGCATCTCAAATTGTGGTGAAAAGAAAGACTAAGCAATAAATAGTGAAAAACACAAAATTGGATCCCTATAACATTCCTTACACTAACTTTAATTTCAGATTGATCAAATATTTAAACAAAAAATAAAAGTTATAGAAGAAAACATAAGTGAATCTTGCTGTTACCTTGGTGTGGAAAAAGTGTTTTTAAACCCTCTTGGTTTCTGAGTTTAAAATCATAAAATTAACTACATACATTTAAAAGAATGGTAAGATTCTTTTAAAGAATGATAGAATTAACTACATACATTTAAAAATTGTATAGAAATATACCCTAAAGAAGAATCAAATATCAAATAGCCAAGAAATATTAGCATCATTTGTATTAGTATGCAAAAAGCTTTTATGAAATAGTAAGGATAAAGAACAGGAGGTATATGTTATGGCCTTGATGGTAGTGATGGTTTCATGGGTATATTCTTGTCCTCAAGTATATTGAATTGATACATTAAATAAGTACCCCTTTTTACATGTCAGATAATTATATAATTATAACTAGTGCAACTGGCACAGACAGATTTGGAAGTAAAGACTGCTCTGATTATGGTAAGCATACAGTTTGTCTAGTGGGAAAATAACGCTCTGTAGTCTGGTATACAAGAAGGCAGACTCAAAGTTCAGAGTTTTGTTTGTTTTACAGTGGGGCTGAATCAAGGGAGTCAAAAGGCAAGGCAATTGATATGTAGTCCATAAAGAAAGCTGCTGCAGGCCGGGTGTGATGGCTGACTCCTGTAATCCAAGCCAAGGCGGGCGGATCGCCTGAGGTCGGGAGTTCAAGACCAGCCTGACCAACATGGTGAAACCCCGTCTAAAAAAAAAAAAAAAAAAAGAAAGCTGCCGCGGTACTGTTACCTTTGTAAGGTTTTAGGATGAGGCAGGTTAGCTAGATAAAAATTGGAAAAGCTATCATCAAGCTATTCTGAAATTCAGAAAATCCAAATAAGTATTGCCATCCAAATTGACAGGATTTGGAGCATATGAATGAGGAGCTTCTGTATTTTAGGAGGCACAGTGGAGAACTGATACTTGGTATACATTATCTGGAAAGGTATTTTAATCGTGCATTTCTGGCTTATTAAATAAAAATGATTGCAAAAATCAAGGCTATGGTTCTCTGCTTAATTTCATGAATCTACTTTTAGCAAAGAAAGAAAATTTTGCATTCCCTTTTCCAGTCTCGCTGGGATTATTATTTTTTTTATCATATATGCTTATGAAATTTTTCTCCTCTCCTCTTGGTCTTATAAGACATTTGTTAATATAACATTTTATTAAATTGATAATATATTATTCTAGGTTTAGATAATCCTTTTCACCAGAACTTTTAAGAAGATAATCTGTTAGTCTTCTCATATATGCACCCTTCATGGGTTTTCAATGAACATATACTGTTTATCATGATTTATAGTTTACTTCAAATATTTTTAAATTAGTGACATTTGTCTCTTTTTCCTATTTGTATATAGTTGGGTTAATGGATGAATAGTCTCATAATATACTTCACTTCTAGACTGTTGTCTGAGTTAATCCTGTTACCTATGTTCGTGAAGTTTGTAGTTTGAAATCTGTGGTTTGTAATCTGTATTCCTTTTTATATTCAAATAATGATTTTTTTCTTTTGTTCATTCCCTCATTTCAGAAAAAATGAAGGTGAAAAAAATACTTCTTGCTAGCATTAACCGGAGAAACATTTTTGGAGAGAACTTAGTATATCAGGCTGCTCTGCATGATGATGCTGATCTTGTTCGTCATTATATAAAACAAGGTGGAAATGTTAATCAGCCAAGTTATGCTGGTAAGTTAGGGTTACCGCCCACAGTTATCTTAAGAGTGGTTTGCAGTTTCAGCTGAATCACTCTTAGGAAAGTATAGCAAAGTGAGCCTAAGGTAAGTTCCAAACAGAAGGCTTTCAGGTCATTTTCCCATTTAAGTAGCTCATCACCATTATCTTTCAGAGAAGAGGGCAGGGTGAGAAGACTGGGTGGGAAGAGAAGAACATTATGTTTCTCCTTCAAAGATTATGCCAGGTAGGTCATGTGCAGTGGCATCCAGAAGGTACCTGGGGCTGGCTTTGCATGGTCATTATTACTATGAGACTCAGCCTTGAATGAAGGAGAAATGATGTCAAACACTGGAAGAAGCTGATGATGCACTGAACTACAGGGGAAAATTCATGATGAAATCGTAGATGTACAGTAGGAGCAGTGGCCAGGGAAATGGAAATAATGCAGTATGAAGAACAGAGGTTGGGACAGGGAGCTCAGAAAGAGCAGTATTTCTGCAAGGCTGGGTCACTGGTACCATCTTCCCTGTAGGTAGAATGTGACATGTTCTCCTGGAGAGGAGTGATTCCTTAAAGGTACTTAAGTACTTAATACACTGAACAATACTGGGAGAGCCTGGATGGTGCCTTTGGATGTCCATACTTTTCCTATTACTTGCTCAGTTTAGAAACAGTGCAGAGTCTTATAGTGCACAGAGATGGCAGAGTAAAATCCATGGATGAGCAGGTGGTTACAAGTGCACTCTCAGTACTTTACCTCAGCAAGGCCTGGGTTTACCCTGTAATCAGGATTTTAACAGGATATTATTTTAAATGTCATACCCAGGTCATAGCTTAAATCCTTATTTGCTAGCTACAGCACTTATTCTCTTGATTGCAAGAGGTACGTGGTTCTTTCTGTTGGTATTCTTTGTCCTGCCCATTGAGTTAAAGAGTAGCCCTACATGTAGCTAATTTTGACTTTATGGATTTCCCAAGCATCCGTAACATATCTTTTTATTAACCTTTTTATTTCTGTGCCAGTGTTAACATTCTCAGTGGCTGTTTCCTTCTTGTCTTCTGCCAGTTAATATATACCTTTTCCTCATTGTCCCATGCACTTCTGTGACCTTCACGAGTTCTTTATCATATTTTCCATGCATTTTGAACTCTCTTGTTCTCTACTTTTCCTTCTTACTTTGCAGCTTAGCTCTATATTTATTTCTGGCTACCACATCCCACAGAATTACAGAGGGCAGTGTTTCCACAGTGTTTCCATTTTCAACAGAATCATCTACAATGTTTGTTTAAAATACAACCATCATTTCACCTCCGAAACACACACACACACACTCTTTCTCTCTCTCTCTCTCTCTCTCTCTCTCTCTCTCTCTCTCTCTCAGTCACTCTTAAGGTCAAGGACTGGCAAGAGCTGTATGACCTTTAACATGTCAGTTCAATATAGTGAGTGTTTACAGTATGCCTTCTATGTACCAGATGCTGTGAAAACAAAAAAATTAATAATCTCTAATAGTAAGATTTAAGTATACTTATTTTGTGGTACACTAAAACAAATAGACCCACTGCCCTGTGAAAAATGAACAAAATGTCATAATGGACCAATTGTCTTTTATATATAATATTTTGAATTTTATAAGTCCTCATTTACGTTTTATGATATTTTTGTCTTTGATTAAAAAAACCAATGCAGGGAGCTCAGAAAGAGCAGTAATTCATTATCCAAAAACAAAGGTGACAGCCATTAAGTAGGCTAAAAAAAACTCTGAATACTCAAAATAGATCACATTTTAAATTTTTTGCCAAAACCCTCTGAAATCAATGCCTTGAGCTTTATTTTATGCAGAATTCTATCTGATTCCTATACCTGTAACACATTAGAACTGAAAAGAAAGATTGGCCCAGGCCAGGAAATTAATAATAGCCTGAAGTTTAAGTCAATAACAAAGCAAGAAATAGATAACTTAAAACGTGAAAGACAAAATTGTTTAGGACTATGTACTGTAGAAAGGAGTGCACTTTATACTTCTGTGAGTGTTGACAATGGCTACATTAGAGCATATAACAAATTTTATTGTAATCTTAAACCTTTTTTTAAAATGCTTTAAATTATGTTCTCTTTAAAAAAAATTATGATTATTATTCAATTTTAAAAGAGATTTCCTCTAAGATAGTTAATTCTTTTTTTTTAAAAGTTTGGGAGGTAATAAAAGATCTGTTGTAAAATGTGTTCCATCTTTATTTTGGAGGGGTAGTTTTACAATGCAAAAGGCATGATCCTCGGGGGAAGGAAAATTCTTTGTTACATTTGATTCTTTCTGTAATCTGTAGTGATTTCTGTGGTTTGCAGTGGCGTTCTCTGCAGAATACAGCTCTTTCTGGTTTTATTGACACTGGGAACTTCTTTCAACCCTGAAACTGTTAATTCTTCCTTTCTGGGTCATCCTTGCTTAAGTCTCATTTCAGGTAGCATTCATTTTTTTTCTGGAATTGGGCACTATTTATTTTTTACTTTTAATGGATCTGTTATTATGTTTAATGGATACATTATTATGTATCATCCATTAAACATAATAACTATAATTATTACATATAATAATAATTATACATATTTATGGGGAACAGTGTGATTTTTTAATACATGTATACATTGTGTAATGATCAAAGCAGAGTAATTAGCATATTCAACACCTTAAACATGTATCATTTCTTTATGGTAGGAACATGAAAAAAATCCCCTCTTCTATCTATTTTGAGACATGCAATACAATACCTCTTTGCTAACTCTAGTCAACCAACTGTACAATAGGACACCAGCACTTATTCTTCATTTCTAATTGCTACTTTGTATCCATTGACTGTCTCTTCCTGATTTTCCCCCTCCTATCCTAACTCTCTCCAGTCTGTAGTAACCACTATTTTGTTCACTGTTTCTTAGAATCAACTTTTTAGATTCTGCATATAAGCAAGGACATGCAGTATATATCTTTCTGTGTCTGGCTTATTTCACTTAACATGATGTTCTCCAAGTTTTTCCATGTTATTGCAAATGAAATAATTTTATTCTTTTATTTATAATTTTATGGCTGAATAATATTCCATTGTATACATATACCACATTTGCTTTATCCATTCCTCTGTTGATGGACACTTAGGTGGAGTCCATATCTTGGCTGTTTTGAATAGTGCTACAGTGAGCATGGGAATGCAGATATCTCTTTGACATTGATTTCATTTCCTTTAGATATATACCCAGTAGTAGGATTGCTGGTTATGGTAGTTCTATTTTTAATTTTTTGAGAAATCTCCGTATTGTTTTTCATAATGCCTGTACTAATTTACATTCCCATCAAAAGTGCATAAAGGTTCTCTTTTCTCCACATCCTCATCAATACTTATCTTTTGTCTTTTTATTGATAGCCATTCTGACTGGAATGATGTGATATCTCATTGTGGTTTTGATTTGCCTTTCCCTGGTAGTCAACAATGTTGAGCATTTTTTTTCATATACCTGTTAGTCTTTTACTCATTTTTAAATGGAATTATTTGTTTGTTTCAGTTCACTTTGAGTTGAATTTTGTATATGTTGAAAATAAGGATACAGTTATATTCTTCTGCATGTGGATATCCAATTTTTCCAGCACTATTCATTGAAGAGACTGTCTTTTCCCCAGTGTGTATTTTTGACACCTTTGTTGAAAAGCATTTGGCTGTAGATGTGTAGATTTATGTCAGGGCTTTGTATTCTTTATATTGGTCTATGTGTCTATTTTTATGTCAATACGATGCTCTCTTTATTAATAGAGCTTTGTAGTGTATTTTGAAGCAAGGTAATATGATTCCTCCAGCTTGGGTTTTTAAAAATTTTTTGCTCAATTTTGCTTTGGCTGTTTGGGGGTCTTTTGTGGTTCTATACAAATTTTAGGGTTTTGTTTTTTACTCCCATGACAAATGTCATTGGCATTTTGATAGAGGTTGTGTTGAATATATAGATCATATTGAATCTGGAAATTATTGTGAGAGAATGAATTATTCCAGTCCATGAACATGGAATACACTTAACATTTATATGTGTTCTCTTCAATCTGTTTCATAGTTTTCAGTGTAGAGATATTTCACTTCCTTGGTTAAATTTATTCCTAAGTATTTTATTTGTTTATTTATTTTGGTAGCTATAACAAGTAGGATTGTTTTCTTGCTTTCCTTTTTGGATAGTTCACTATTTAGCATTAGAAACCGTGCTGATTTCTGTATGTTGATTTTGTATTCTGCAACTTTATTGACTTTGTTAGTTCTTGCAGTTTTTTAGGGGAGCCTTTAGAGTTTTCTATATATAAGACCATGTCATCTACAAACAGGGACAATTTGACTTCCTCCTTTCCCATTTGGACACCTTTTATTTTTTTCTTTTGCCTAATTGCTCTTACTAGGACTTCCAGTACAATGCTGACTAGAAGTGGTGAAAGTGGCCATTCTTGTCTTTTTCCAGATCTTAAAGGAAAAACTTGCAACTTTTCCCTGCTTCATATGAAGTTAGCTGTGGGTAAAAATAAAGCCCATATAAGGGATTTTTATTGTGTTGATGTACATACCTTCTGTACCTAATTTGTTGAGAATTTTTATCATGAAGTGATGTTGAATTCTGTCAAATTCTTTTTCTGCATCTTTTGAAATGATCATATGGTTTTTGTCTTTCTGTTAATGTGATATATCACATTTATTGGTTTGTGCATATTAAATCACTCTTGTATCCTTGGGATGAATCCCACTTGATCATAGTGAATAATCTTTTTAATATACTGTTGAATTCAGTTTGCTGGTATTTTGTTGAAGATTTTGCCCCTGTGTTCGTCAGGGATATTGGGGATTCATTTTTAAGCACCTCCTCCCCTTGCTCCATCATTGACTTTGAATCACTCACACTTGTATCTTGTTTTCTTTGGGAATTTTCTTCAGTAAATTTAAAATAGGATACTGACTTTTCCTTGGAAGCCATGTATTTACTTTTATATTTACCTTATCTTTCAGTCATTATGAGCTCAGGGAAAAAAAATATTTGTTTGTGGTCATTTTCTTATTTCTATAGTAGACTAGTAGACATTTTAGCTTTTTTTTTTTTCTTTTTTTTTTTGAGATAGAGCCTCACTCTTGTCACCCAGGCTGGAGTGCAATTGCGATCTCAGCTCACTGCAACTTTCCCCTCCCAGGTTCAAGAGATTCTCCTGCCTCAGCCTCCCAAGTAGCTGTGATTACAGGTGCCTGCGATGATGCCTGGCTAATTAGTGTATTTTTAGTAGAGATGAGGTTTCACCATATTGGCCAGGCTGGTCTTGAGCTCCTGACCTCAGGTGATCTGCCTTCCTTGTCCTCCAAAGTCCTGGGATTACAGGCATGAGCCACCGTGCCCAGCCCATTTTCATCTTTAGGAAACTAACTTTTATTGTAGTTTGAGCAAAGTCTAGATAAGGAAAGGAAGTTTCCTAGGAGGAAAATCATTATCTGCATTCCAAAGTTAATGATTTTGAGTTTCTGATGCTTAATTTTTCATCCTATCTTAACTGGGACCTGTGATAGCTAATCAAGTTAACTGGTATACAGAAGTGAATTTTCACTAGTTCACAGGTCTCAGAACCTAAACAGCAATGAATTTATACCTTCTCTAAGAAACAGTATTTGGGGGAAATTGTTTTTGTATATACATCTTAAAAATAGGTAGTTAAAAAATATTCAAAAAGTTCACGCGGCCTATTTATTTGTCCATATACCCAATATCTAAATTCTACATAGTTATTTTATTGAATACGTATTTATCTTGAAATCTGTCTGTCCATCAATCCATCTTTATTTTGATGCATTTCAAAAAAATTGTAGATATCAATGTGTTTTATCACTAAACACCTCAGCATGAATATTATTATATTATTAACTAGAGCTCAGTAGCGTGTGTGTGTGTGTGTGTGTGTGTGTGTGTGTGTGTGTGTCTGAGGTAACATTTTCATATAGTAAACTACAAATCTTAAATGTGCCATTTGATGAATTTTGACAGTACACTATCCCAGAAAGTTCCCTCATGCCTCTTCTTCACTCTCAAAGTGCCACAACTGTTCTGTTTTTCATTGTATATTAGTTTTGCTTCTTTCAGTATTTCAGCATATTTTATGGGTTAAACATGATTTTAACTATTGGTTTTTGTAGATGCTGTTGAGCAGATTGAGGAGTCTATTCTCAATTTGCAGTTTTTTTTTTTTTTTGATCAAGTAGATGCTAGCTTTTCTCATGTACTTTTGCTACATCTATTGATATGGCCATATAATTTTTCTCTCTTATTTCACTACTGTGGTGATTAGGTTGATTGATTTTCCAAATGTTAAACCAACCTTGCTTTCTTAAAATAAACTGTATCTGGTTATGATGTATCATTCTTTTTATATATTGCTGAATCCAATTTGCTATAGTAAGGATTTTTGCATATATTTTCATGAGTAAAATTGACATATAATTTTTTGGGGTAGGATAATTCTTTTGTCTGTAATTTTTTTGGGGGAGATTAATGCTTTTGTCTGGATCATTTTTATCAAGATTTGCTAATATTTTGTTAAGGAGTTTTAAAAATCTATGTTTATAGATTTACAATGATCAGTTTATAATTTTGTAATGCCTTTGGTTTTGGTATGAGGGTTTTGCAGGCCTCATAAATTAAGAAGTCTTCTCTCTCCTATTTTCTGAATGAGTTTGTTTAACATTGAGAGTTTTTCTTCTTTTTTTAAATTATACTTTAAGTTCTGGGGTGCATGTGCAGAACGTGCAGGTTTGTTATGTAGATATACATGTGCCATGGTGGTTTGCTGCATCCATCACCTTGTCATCTACATTAGATATTTCTCCTAATGCTATTCCTCCCCTATCTCCCCACCCCTGCTATCCCTCCCCTAACCCCCCACCCCCTCACAGGCCCCGGTGTGTGATGTTCCCCTCCCTGTGTCCATGTTCTCATTGCTCAACACTCACTTATGAGTGAGAACATGCAGTGTTTGGTTTTCTGTTCTTGTGTCAGTTTGCTGAGAATAATAGTTTCCAGCTTTATCCATGTCCCTGCAGAGGACATGAACTCATCCTTTTTGATGGCTGCATAGTATTCCACAGTGTATATGTGCCACATTTTCTTAACCAGTCTATCATTGATGGGTATTTGGGTTGGTTTCAAGTCTTTGCTATTGTGAACAATGCTGCAGTGAACATACGTATGCATGTGTCTTTATATCCTGTGTATTTGGGATGAAGAGTCCTGTAGATGTCTATTAGGTTCACTTGGTCCAGATCTGAGTTCGAGTCCTGGATATCCTTTTTAATTTCCTGTCTCATTGATCTGTCTAATATTGACAGTGGAGTATTAAAGTCTCCCACTATTATTGTGTGGGAGTCTAAGTCTCTTTGTAGGTCATTAAGAACTTGCTTAATTTATCTGGGTGCTCCTGTATTGGGTGCATATATATTTAGGGTAGTTAGCTCTTCTTGTTGCATTGATCCCTTTACCATTATGTAATACCCTTCTTTCTCTCTTTTGATCTTTGTTGGTTTAAAGTCTGTTTTATCAGAGACTAGGATTGTAACCCCTGCTTTTTTTTCTTTACATTTGCATGTTTCTTAAGATGGAAACAGTAGACACTGGGGACTACTTATGGGAGGAGGAAAGGAGTGGGACATGGGTTGGAAAACTACCTATCGGGTACTATGCACACTATCTGGGTGATGGGATCATTTGTACACCAAACCTCAGTGACACACAACTTACCCATTTAAAAAATCTGCACATGTACACCTTAACATAAAACTTACAACAAAAATAAAGTATGTTTCTTGTAAATAGCAGACAGTTTTGCTTTTTTATGCATTCTGCCAATCTTATCTTTTAATTGGAAATTAGCATGCTTAGTCAATTTACACTAACATAAATGGTTGGATTTAGGTCTGCCATTTTACTAGTTGTTTTCTGTGTGCTTAATTTGCTTTTTGTTTCTTTGTCTCTACAGTATTTTTTCACAGTTACTCTAGAAATTAAGTATACGCCTCTAATGTTTCACAGTCATCTTAGAGTTAATATTATAACACTTTATATGAAATGTGAGGACACTGAATACATATAGTCCATTTATTCCCTATATCCATTATGCTATAGCTATCATATGTATCATATCTACATACATTATAAATGTTGTAACTTTTGCTTTAAACAAGCCATATTCATTTTAAGGAAATTCATAGGGGAAAAAACTTTAATAACTATATATTTATAATTTTAGGGTCTCTTCATTTCTTCCTCAAAACTTTTTAATTAATACTATAGGAGAAACTCTTTCCACAACATTGTATGGCAGTGGTTCTCAACTGGAGTGATTTTGCTCCCACCCCCAGGGGACTTTTGGCAGTTTCTGGAAACATGTTTAGTTGTTACAACTGGGTTAGGAGTTTCTACTGTCATCTGGTGGGTTGAGGCCAGGGATGCTGGTAAACATTCTGTGATACTCATAACAACCAAGAAACATAAGCTGAGATTGGGAAACCCTGTTTTATGGTGAATGTTCTGAGAAGAGCTAGTGAAATTCTCTTTTGACGTGCAAATTTAAAGTTTTCTTACGTGTCATAAGATTTATTGGAATTTAACAAATATCTACAACTTAGACCATTGTCTTTGGCTAAGGAAGGAAAAGAATATTTGCCTGTATGAATGGTTTTCTTGGAGCAATTTGTGGTTTGTTAAACTACTATAAATAGCTTTTTGTAAAAAAGGAGAAAAAAATGAGTATATACTTTTGAACTGAATAATATCTAGTCCAGCCAGCTGGATACTTTAATGGAAGTACCTTGAACTAGAAATAAAGCATTTCTCTCCTCATCTCTGCAGAAAAGTAGCCTATAGCCAGCATTCTCTTTGAGTTGATAATGACTCCTGCACGGCCTATTTATTTGAAGAGATCAGGATTACTTTCAGATATTTTGCTTCTTTTCATAGTTTTGCACAACAGAGTTGAGGGGTAGGAGTTTGATTTGTCCTTCAGATTTATTGAGCCTACCAGATAATACAGCGTGCTTTCAGGTGATACTATCTTGACTCATATAATTAAAATATTTTTAAAGAAACAACTTAGAATCAGAGTTGTTTTTTAAGGGCAAGCACAAAACATTATTAAGATGCGAAATATAAACAAATGCCATATCTTTTATGTATGATAGGTTGGACAGCACTTCATGAAGCAAGTGTAGGAGGATTTTATCGGACAGCAAGTGAACTGTTAAAAGGTGGAGCAGATGTAAATATCAAAGGAATGTACCAGATTACTCCCCTACATGATGCTGTGATGAATGGACATTATAAGGTACTGTGATGCTTTTGTTTGCAGAGCAAATAATATTCATTTTGTAAAAATTAAATACTGTGGGATCACACAATAGAAAAACATACAAGAATTTTAGTTTAATTTCATTCTGCTAATGAATACTTAGAATTTATAATGAAATTTTACTGTGTGATAGGTTTGTTGTGTGGAATATGATAGGTGTCATTTTACATATTAAAACTAATAACTTTTAGTATTTTACACACTAAAAGTGTTTAATAACTATACAGAGCTTTTTGGCTACACAGTATTTTTTTCAACTTGTTCTCCTTTAAAACTTCTTAAATATGGTGCTTTATAGGGTTTAGAAGAATGCTTCCTTCTTATAGAGTGTTACAAAATGATGTCCAGTTCTGATAGGAAGTTTACAGCTTTATGGAGTTTAGTGTCACTTTCATAATTGGCCTAAGACAGGACAATGTTTCTGATCAGTCCAGCTTAATGATCAGCCAGGATTTATCAGTAGAGTTGTACTGCAGGTTAAAATATCAGACTGCTATAATTGCATGACAGTTGGTTAGTAGTAACTGCAAAAGTGGTAACATTAAGATTATGAATTCTAGTATACATGGTTTATCTCAGAAACCATATTTATTAGCTTCCTACACATTTTTTTGGTTCTGGAACAACATTGCAGGACTGAGGCACTTGCTAAAGATATCTTACTTATTTCAGGCATTGGAAGTTGCCTCTGGGTTTAAAAACTTCTAGAATGGGAAAGGGGATTAACCAGCTGGGATTAGGAAGATTTGTTCTGCTGTTTCACAGGCAGAGATGGAGAAGGCTGCTAGGAGCCATGGCAATAGACCAGGTATATTTCTTCATAGTGTGGAACAGTACTTCAGAAGGGTTTAGGCAGTGTTTTTTTGTCATTTGTTTATTGTTTTTTGTTTGTTGATAATGTATATCTTGGTGATGGATGGTCATTTTTTTTGATATAGTTTAGAGGACTGGGAGGAGATAATTATGCCCAGCATCCAGTTTAATGGCCAGAAGAATGCAGGTGTGGAAATGTGTCAGGTCCAGCCCGCAGATCCTGACCCAGCGACGAATGAACAAATGCACTCAGACACAAGTATCCAGTGAAAGAGCAGGCTTAGGGGTCCTGGCAACTCACAGATGCTGAGGAGGCTGCTGTAAAGAGTCAGCAGCTGTGACCCTTACCAACTGGCACTGGGGGCATTTTATTCAGCATCTGTATAGATTTAATGACAGAGGCTTTGAGTCAACACACTTGTGGATAATTAACATGGTTGCCTTCCCCGGAGAGAGCAGTCCTACGAATGATTAAAAGCCAGGTTCAGAGGCCTGAAGCAAACACCATTTGTAGATAATAACATTGTTGACAACCCCCTCCCCCCCAACTTGCCACCATAAGCAGTCATGCACCTGTGGATGTTCAAAGGTTGGTCTTAGGACCACATGAGTAAACAAGCTCTTTAGATAAACTCCCTTACATTCCTTTCTGCCTAATTGCCTCTGGGTAAGAACTGCCAGCCTTTGGCTCATTCCTTCCCGATGCTTTTGCAAAACCTCCGAGCCTTCCAAGAAGGTTTGTATCCTTTTCTCTATAATTTTTCTCTTATAATTTCTCCCACCAGCCTGACTGGACCCCTGCATCTCCTGCTTTTCTTTTTTGTTGCATCAGGTTTTGTTGATTGAATAATACAGATGTATGCAGTAGCAGTTTTGTCTGGCACAGCAGTCACAGGTCGTATGCTAGCTTTGCATCCTAGAATTAGTAAATAACATAAGACAAACATGAGTATAATCAGTAACATTCTTTTCAAATCAAAGAATGACCCCCAGGAGTGGGGGTCAATCCAGGAGAGATGTTCTCAAATACCCTTTCACATGGCTGTTTGTTGGGCACTTAGATCTACAGCATTTAGGGATTCTTGAATTTTGGTTTTAAATTACGTCTGCAGTTAAATTATCATGGAAAGTTCCCCAGAGGTGTTGTTTCACCTTATCCCAACTATATATTGATCGATTCCAAGGTAGGGAGGTGACACAGATATGCTTATGCTTCCAGTCACATTTTAACTGCTGTCAGAATGCCAGTGCAACTTATTGCTCCCCTACATGTTCCAAAACACCCTTGAGGGCTTGCAGAGTGCAAGAATCTTTAACCTATACCTTGCTGTAAGAGAAGTTCATTAGATACATTTCTGGCCAGATTAGCTACAAAAGTAGCTATTTGCACTGATTCAGTAATAGATGCAACAGCATTGTTAGCAGGATGTTGGATGACTATGGCTGAGACTATGAAGTCTGTAAATGTAACTAAAGGGCACGTTCCGTGGTGGCAAGGGCAAAGGAACCTTGCCAATTGCATGTTAAATCGACTAGTAGGAAAGCCTCAGGTTGTCTACTCAGTACCATGACACTAGTAATATTTAAATTAGATATATTGTAATTAGAGATACAAGAGGCAACCAAGCCTGTACCTGCACTTGGTCTCAAATGTGGAGTTTTGGGGTGTAACAGAAATATCAGTTCCCGTAAGGAAAACATATGAATGGGTAGTGCCAATCAGGCAATGATCAGTGTGATTATGAAAAAAGGTCATAGTGTAATTGTGACTGGAATTATGGTATGTCTCATGCCAGGTGTTAAGGGGGGGTGCTAAGATGTCCCAGGCACCTAGAGTGTCTTGGGGAGGCATGGACTCTACTTGGGGTATGGGATATCCCATCCCCCTATTGGCCCAAATTATAGGGGAATGGGACATGGCTTTGAAACTGTCATTAATGCCATGATAGACGCAGATATTAGTATGATCACCCTGAAAATGGCTGTGAGCTCCAGTCTAAGATTTTATAATTGCCTAACTGGAGGCTACAGGCCCATTCCCCATGACAGACCTCCCAGCTAAAGTGGAATCCATTACTTTTCCAGCTTTGTTATTTAGCACAGGAAGGAATGTTTGGGAAAGTGGCATTGATTGCATTGCCTGGTTTGAGGCTACCTGCAGCTAAGACTGTTCAGGCATTTCCTTTACCATGATGTAGCCATAATTGCGTTTGAACAGGTACACAGTAAGAGTTAGAATTACTATAACTTACACATAGTGGAAGGATAGTGGAGTGATATGTAGTATTACTTGGCACCTTAATCCAACGTGTGTCATTAATGAGGGACCCCACAAGGGCTAAATCTATCCCTACCAGCCAAGCAGTTATGTTCTTAGAGGATGGGAAGGGAGTGTCTGCCTAGGTGACAGGGTGAAAGAAAGGCAGATCTAAGATATGAGCCCAGTAGAGTGTCGCAGGTACTGATTGCAGACAAAGTGAGAGCCTAAAAAGGATCAATATCCTACGTGAGTTGCAATGTACAACAGAGAGCATGGCAAGGAACAAATTATCTGGAGTGAATGGTGTCTGTGTCTGGAGCAGGATTTGCTAAGCTTCCTGTGTTGTCTTCTTCAGGATCCCCCAAAAGTGAGGTCCAGGTCCTGTGTTGTCTGAGGAAGCCACATCATCCATGGCTGTAGGTCCTGCAGGGTCATCTCCTTCATTTCTGGTATCGGGTTGGGTCCTAGCCATGGTAAGGTTTGATGCATTGTGCTGGAATCCAAAGAGGACCTGAGAGGGTGTAAACACAAGCATATCCTCTTCCCTGTATTAGCAAATCATTTGGACTGCACCATTCATTACTATTTACATCCTTCCATAAAACTGTGAGTTTTATGTTTTAAGAGCCTTTAGCAAAGTGCTTTTCTATAGCTGATTAAAATTTATCATCTAAATTTAATAAATTAAGGGTAAATAAGGCTTGTGCTAGTAGTGTTGCAGGGTCCTTATTCATACTCCCCCTTTTTTGTTTTCTGAGCATATTTTTTAAGGTGCAGTGGGCATGTTCTACTATGGCCTGTCCTTGGGGGTTATATGGGATGCCTATGGAATGCTGGATGTTCCATGTGTGACAAAATTGTTGAAACTGTGAGCTGGCATAAGGTGGACCATTATCAGTTTTATTTTTGGTGGGCCACCCCATAAATGCAAAAGTTAAGAGAAGATGTTTAATGACACATGGAGAGGACTCTCCAGGAAGAGCACATGCACTAATTAGATGAGTGTTGGTATCAGTGGATACATGTATTTATCTTAGTTTCTAGTCCTCTAGGGTTAACACCTGTTGAAGGAGGGAATGTGCCTGTGAGCTGACAATCTGGGCATTGCAGGGTGATTTGTTTAGTTAGTCTTTGGGTAAGTTGAAATTGTTGTTTCTCTGATTTTGGTGGAAAAACTGATTCGATTGGGTGGCTTGATCAAGCAGTGATGTCATAACTTGTAGGTCTGATTAATTATTGCCATAAGCCAGTGGGGCAGGCAGTGAGCTGTGGGCTTTAATATGTGTGATAAAAATAGAATGTTTGCATTGATCTAGCAAATGCTGAAGTCAAAGAAAATGGGCACACTGGGTGGGCCCAAGAGTAGACTTCATTAGGGCTGTCTTAAGGTTTTGTAATAAACAGAGTAAGCAGAGTCACTACAATATTGATGGGCTGAGTAGAAAATGTTTCCAAGGCCAATATCAGAGCTCCAATCTCAGCTCTCTGAGTGCTAGTAAATCCAGACACAGTGAGGAAATCATGTGGTCTTCACCAAACAGCTACTTTTCCATGTTTACCAGATCTGTCAGTAAACATTGTTAAAGTGTTAGGTACGGGGGAATGAACTATTTTTGTAGGCAAAACCACAGAAGTACGCTTTAAGAACTGGAGGAGCTTGCCAGCAGGAAGGACATGCTCTATATGGCATGTGTAATTAGAGAATGCTATTTGCAGGTCCATAGATAATGGCAATTGCTTTTTACTTAAAAGAATCCTAATGATATCAGGGTGATAACCTAGCAACTGATTGCATTGTCTGCAGCCTGAATAGGTGACTTTACTAAGTAGCTGGGTGTAGGGAGAATGTTTTAGTCCCAGTATGTGAGCAAGAAACCCATCCTAGAAAGTGTAGCCCTGGGGT